AAAATTATTATGCATTATTTCACATTTCCATTAAAACTTAAAACACTTCACATTTCCAAAAAAACAAATGTTATTTTGAATAAAAACATACTTACTTTTTTAAAGGTCCTCCGCTACTGTAGTGGCCAAAATTGAACAACATCGTCTAGAATAGCGTTGAAGACATAAAAACCATTTACTTTAACACGTTGACGCCACATGAACTCACACATATACAAATCGAGCATATGTCTGTGTGTCGTTGTGGCGCTTGTTTCTTTTGCAGATTTCCACAAACGTTCGATGCTTTGGGTATTGGCTATTGGCACCTGAGTTTGGATCCAAAAACTTAACAGAATGCATGACCCTTTGATGAGTCAATGTGTGCTTAGTGCCAATTTCTCTTGGGATTCTTTAGCCAGCTTGATCTGATTATAAGCATCAGCTAGATCTATTTTTGAGAAATAATGTCCACCTGCTAACTTCCTCATGAGGTCTTCTGGTTATGGCATTTGGTACCTGGGTGTTTCTAACTGTTGATTTACAGTTTTTGCATAGTCCCCACAGACCCTAATCTGTGACTTTCTTCCTGTGATAGACTTCTTTCTCACTGGAACTACAGGAGTGCCCCATTGATTGAACTGTACTGATAGCCATACTCCTGAAGATATTCCAGCTTCATAAGCCTCTGCTAGCTCTGCCTTTACTGCAAATGGAAAATTTCTAGGTTTCACATAAATTGGATGTGCATTTGTCTTGAACTTAATTTCTAGCTCCACATCCTTCAATAGCCCCAGACCAGGTTCAAACAGCTTCGGGAATTCCTTACAGATTTTTTCACAAGCTTTATTCAATGAGTTTTTATTAGCAATGTGATTTATCTTGTTTGAAACAGTGCGTCTATTGAAATCCTGAGGTTCTTTATTGCCGTTCTTCCCAACAAATTTAAGTTGTGGTTTTTCACTAATACAAATGACAAATTTGTAGTTATTTCCCCTGCTTCAGCCTTCATCTCCACACCTCCCAAAACATTAAGTAGGTCACCAGACGCTGACTCGTACTTGACTGATACTGGGCTCAATGTCGGTTGTCCCAGCTTTTGCCAAACAGATTCAGATATAAAATTTTCTCAGGCTCCAGTGTCAGTTTCAAATGCAAACCTCTTTCCTTCTAAAATGAGAACTTGACTAATGGGCGGGATAGTTTTTATTTGGTTTTGCCTTCTTATTCTTTTTAGATGAATCGGTTTCTGTTTTGGAGCATTCTCTTTCTTATTTAGACAAACTCTTTCTAGATGTCCTCTCTTGTGTCAAAAGCGGCAGATATTGTCTTTGGTCCTGCAGACATTTCCTTTATGGCCTCTTACTCCACACCTGCCACAAGTTCCACTCGGAAAATCCTGTCTTTGAGATGGAGAAAATTTCTCTGCTGTCTGATGTTGCTTTCTTTGTGTCTGAATTTTATTGATAGGCGCTTCTTCATGGACTGTTTCTTTGGCACATTTCGCTGCCTCCTCTGTTTCAACAGCTATTTCAACTGCCTTGTTGAATGACAGTTCAGTGTCCTTCATCCGAAACAAAATTTTTAATACTGCCTCACTCTTTACAGAGCACATGAATCTTGTTCGTAAAGCTTCATCTAGAGGATTTTTTATATTCCTAAACTCACAAGTGGCTGCCTCCTGTCTCATCCTAGCTGCCAATTCTTTGATTTCCCCCCCCCCCCCCTGGTTTTCTACTAGAATCGGACCAAAATTTGAATCTTTACCTGATTACAAATTTGGTGGGATCAAATTGATCCATCATTATCATTATTCTATATATTTCTTCTATGTTCAAGTCATTTAAATTTTGTGGTGGTTCTTTTTGTTGTACATGGTTGATAACATTTTATGCAGCTCTGGCCTCTGGCTTGTTAAAAAAATGTGTGCCTGCCTTTCCTTTGGCACATTATTTGCCAACACAAAGGTAGAAGAGTTAGTAACATATCTAGTATCTAGCTTAGTAGTCTGTAAACGTTTCCTCATTACTATTGAAATGTGTAAACTTCATATTAGTAGCTAGTTTCAAAAGTAGCTCGTTCTGCTGTATGAACATGAGCTTCTGGATAATGTCAGCTTGCGTCAAATTTGACTCCATTGTGTATTTACCTCCTCGTCCCGTGAAGTCACTCGTGCGTATCAAACTATCACTCAGTTGTACTGAGTTTTGTATTGAGTCCAACTGACCATCATACTGTGTTGTTGATGCTGGTTGATACCAAACTGTTATGTTTATACTGGCCACAATTTTGTTATGTTTTCATTGTTTTTATTTCAAACAAGTAACATAAACGTATATATACATAAAATACAAGTTCTCAATCAGGTGTTGACTTTCTGCTTGCGTCCGGAACACGGTTCATTAACACACATTCTCTCTAATCTCTGTGCGCATGCGCGCTGTTTCCTTGGCTGGCTATCGGTACGGGCCAGTCCGCTAGTCCACCATAACAAAACATAAACGTATTCTTACTTGCTTTTACGTCACGTTGTTCTTAGTATTTCTTCTACGCTACATGAAAGTATTCAAAATACGGCACATTTCTCGATTGATAATAATGGCTCTAAGATGGCAAACCGATGGAAGTATGATGGAAGTATCCGTCATAACCGTCACGTGACCAACCGAATACATAAAGACCTCACGTGACCAGCCATTTGCTCCTATAGGTAACCGGGTACCTATGCCTATAGCCACTCCGAAAAAGTATAGACACTAAGACACTAGTCATAATTACCATAAATATACGTCACCAAGTAGATGGCGGGAAGGGCGTTCATTAACCCCTTAAAAACACCCCCACACAATAAAACACAATATCCGGTGTGAAACAATTATTAGTGATTTCCCAAGCTCGACTCCCCCTCAACCACTTCCAATCCAGATTTAACTCACGGAGTTAAAATAATAATAAAAAACATAAACATATTTAATTTACCCCCCCCCCCCGAGTACCTCGCACAATACTCAAATTTACATTTTATTACTTATTTCATACCAGGTTCAGCTACAGCTGGGTTTCGAACCCCCCCCCCAATAAAAATAATATCATCTCTGAAAAATTTAACAGGGTATTAATACAACAATCAATACAACTAACCTTTAGGTACATATTTTAATGAAAATGCATGACTATGACATAAAAATTCATGGTTTTATTGCCCCGGGTAGTTAACAATAATTGTTAAATTAAATCAGTATTTAATCAAATTCTCAATAAATTTCGTAAAGGCTTGTATGCATAAAAATATTAATATTTATCACAATGATAAAAATATAGAAATATTTTATAAACATTAGTAATTTTTTTATTACTTTAAAAAAAAAATTAATAATAGCTAAACCGTTATAATAAGGGTTAAAACCAGCAAGGTCACAAAAAGGATTTTTTTTTAAATATATATATATATATATATATTACAACAACTGAACAAGCTATTCTAACATACATTTGAAATGCCCCAAATCAGCCATTTTATACAATATTTTAATAAATAACAGTGTCATAAGTATTGGATATAACATTTTTACGACTATTTACTCTTTTGATCAATTAAAAATATTGCACCGATTCATCGAGGCCTACACTAGTACGGTAACATCACACAGATATGGCTCAAGGCTAAAACATAATAATACTATTAAACGACATCTTTTAATATTTTAGAGTGTTCCTGGGCTCCGGTTGGCAAGTCTGTGGTGGCTTGTCGATTAGGAGGCGTCGGCCACCGACCCCCTCGACGTTAACCGGGAAACACAACTGCTGACTACTGGGCGCGTCCTGCGTGGCCAGACAAGGGATGTGCTCGGTACCTGCCGTACATAAAACAGCTCCTACAGGCCTGCCAGTTGTGATATTTCCCAACTGGGACAATAGGCAGAGACAGGGTAGGGATCATTATTACAAGTTGCCGTTAATGGATATGAGGCGAAGGTGGTAATCTCTGGCCGATGATTCTTACTACGCAGCCCTGAGAAGCTGCTCCAAGGCAACCGTTTCGTCCCAGCTGCATCGCGAATTAGTTGCGTTGTGGAAACCCACTGTAGAATCCCTCTTATAGGGCATCTAACGCTTACCCGGGATGGGTGGGAGAAGATATTAGGACGTAAATTTTTCCTGAGAAAGTCGATCGTGTGCACTGTGTGCGAACAGAGTGTCGGACCGGTTAGGACGGCCCCCGGCGGAGACCTGGTCGAGCAGACTCGGGTGGGGGCCGTCCTGACAAAGGGAAATCCCCGACGTACCGCTCCGCGGCCCGATACCGGGTTGGGGAGGGGTGTTTTGGGAAGGGCATAATGAGCGCAAGCTCGACGGCCCGCTGACGCCATTTCTTAAAGCAATATTTCAATAGTTTAGAGTCACTTTTCAGTTCTTGTGTGATATCACAACCAAAACTCAAGGTAGGATCATCCCTCAATTTGAGAAAGTGCACGTTTGCGAACGTTGTGGTTTATGAAGAAATCTGGTGTTGGAGTGGGGTGGGAATAAAATTCACCCCACCCCCTTTGCTGGCTTTTGAATTCCTCTAGCCCAGGTAAACCAATTTATATGGGAAATGGAAAAATATAAATATTTCTTTTTTAAAATTTGAACATACTTATATTTTGGAGAAATGGTATTTTTGTTAGGAGAAAACAGTTCAGAAAAAACAAAATTTTCACCGTACACTTAAATTGTATGAATTAAAACTGAAAAAAAAATAGTATATAATATATACTCTACCTACTAAAAGTAATTTTAAAAAATCAATGGAATCAATAATTTGATTTGCTGATAAAATGAAGAATTATTGAGCTATTAGTGAAATTGCAATCCTTTGTTATCAGTATTCTTATTGAACAATGTTCAAACCTTTTTTAACTGTAAATTTTAGTATTACTTACATTCATGGTAAACTCTTGAATTAAATACAAATAATACCATGACCCACATACTTGACTACGCCCTATTGTCCACCAAGGGAGGTTGGGGGGGGGGGGACTTCCACCTATCGGGGTCGGGATAGAAGCCCTTGAATCAGCATGGCTATATCAAATAGATAAGACTAAAGAAACCAATAGAGAAAACTCTGCCTCAAGTGTATGTAAGTGTTGAACAATAGAATAAAAGTTCATTAAAAATTTTAACACTGTTCTTGATTCGTAATTCAAGTTTGTTTCCCCAAAAAACCCTGTAAGCCCCTCTCTATAATATAAAACTGCAGACTTGGAAATAGCATTGGCATTAAAATTGTGGAGTTGGGCAGAGATCATTTTAATCAATATTGATAAATAAACTCTCCCTTAAGTAACTTAATCTCTATCAAATAAACAATCGTGTCTCCAAAATTAAAAAATTAATGTGAACAAATCCACTCCTATTTTTGCAGCGCAGCACCTCCTCTCAATTTCAAATAATTTCGGTAACACCCCCCCCCATTCCAACCCAAACCTATAAAAATTATTTTAACAATGTAAATAAATATGTGGTTTTCCTTGATACCAAATTGATGGAAAGAAAAAAAAATGCATCAGAACAAAAATTAGCACAAAAAAAATGGCCACAAAAACAACTGCTGATAAAAATTCAAAACAACCTGGGCATGGGTTTGTCCCCAAGACTGTATATGACAGAGGAGAGTTAAATAAATATAATTTTTTGACATGTATTCGTTTTCCACATATACATTTTATTTATTAAAAATATATTTAAAATTCAGCACATTAACTCTTCGCTGATGAAAAATTCAATCAGTTAACTTTCTATTATTTTTCTTTCATTTATTTTTTTCAGCTTTCTCACATTCCCCCCCTCCCCTATCCTTTTTAAAGAAACCCTGATGAAGCCAATTTAAGCCAATTATGACCCCGACCTTTTAGAAAGTTTTACCTTGTACTCAGTAACCCCAAAAATTTAATGTTTTCATTGCCTTCCATTGTTATTTGATTTAACAGTAAGACCACTGCAAAGTGATTGATAGCAAATAATAAATATATCTCTTAACTCTGTGTCCTTCCACAACACAAAATAATGACAAAAGAGTGGTTGTGAAAATATAACCAAGCATTAGCTAGGGTCAATCATCAGGATGGAATAGTTTTAAAGCAAAATTTAACAGACAGGGAGGTTAAGGAAATTTAGTATGAAATAAGTTTACTTTTATAAACTTCAAAGAAAGACATGAATATTAAAATTAAAATAATGCAGTTATTATTGTTTAAAGAAAGAGGTGAATGAAAAACAAATAATTGTTAGTAATCAATCAGGATGAATTAAGAGCACTGTCTGCAGTAAAACAACATGACATTAATTCAATATATTTTTGAAGTTTACAATTAAAATAATTAAACCCATGTAAAATGGTATAAAAAATTTTAAGAAACATTTTTAAAAATTATAAATGTAAAAAATTTTCAGAAATGTCCTCTTCAGAGTCTTCAGGGGTGTCTTCCCTAATCATATTTAAAACCATACTTTCAATATCACAAACATCCCCTATATCCATTTCTGGCAATATCTTTCCTATCAGTTTATGTACATTATGATGGAATGTACTAATTGTCCTTGTTATGACTTCACTCTCTGTCTGAATTCCAGGTTCACATACAATCGTTGCTTCTGGTTGATCAGTTTGAACTGCAGTATGTATGCCATTTCTCATACTTTTTATAAGAACTTGACCTATCAAAGTAAGATAATTTTCATTTTATTTTAAAAGGCTGGAAGTGAAAAACTGATTGGTAAAAATGTATACACTCCATCTGATCCATCCAAGGAAACTTGTAGCGTGCGGTCAATAAGTTTTGTGTTTATTCTACTTTGTAATATCATTCTAAGCTGGGGTACCACGCTATATTAGACCACTAATAATAATAATTTCTTATTGCCTTGCGTTTAAATAAAATGTTATGTTTACTTTTTATTATCTGTTTTAACTAGTGATGTTAAAGACAAAATTTATAAATTCTTTTTTTCAAACTAGTTTTCAATTTTAAAAATCCGATTTTAAACCTGACTTTGGTTTTAACAATCAGGGCCCCAGTCTTGCAGAAATGCATGGGAACAAAGATCCTGCAATTTTTTTTCCTAAGAAACAAATAGCCTAAATATTTATTGAAAGAGTGGGGTTTGGAGGTCTTGGGTAAATGCCCACACATTTTCCTGCCAGGACTTGCCCCCTATTTGCAAAGTATTCTTCACCTCTCCTCAAATCATTTCAAACTGAAATGACATTTTATAGACCATACCATCCATGGGAAAGGAAAGAAAAGACGAAGAAGGATTTTTCCCTATTCATATAGGCCTACTATAAATAAATTATGCTTCATTTTATGTCTTCTCTTTACAATATAGTTTTCATTCATTTAAAAAAAAAAGGGGGGGGGGGTTGGGGTTTGGCAAAAGAATGGGTCATTGCAATGTGCCAACTTGTCAATATCTATCACACATTTCACTATTGCAACAATAAAACGGCCACTTTTACTACCAATTTCTTGCATTAAACAGCATCTATATTTTTTTTAAAGTTTATAATTTATCAAAAAATAATAATAGCACATTTACTATTTGTTTTATTTTTATTATTATTGTAATTTGACATTTTAAATATTTTTTTATAGCTTGATATAAAATAAAGTTGTAACCAGCCTGGGAAAATCAACTACTAGTTTTTGCTTTCAAAACCAGTTTTTGTTAAATTTCATTAGTTTTAACCTAATGCACTTGAATTTTTTCTCTTTGAGTTAGTTCACTCTGAAAATGTGGTATGCTCTTGAATTAAATAATTTTTTGCAAAAATAATTTAAAGATAAATATTTTAAATATAATGGATTAATAAATCATTTAAATCCTTCATTAAATAAGACGTTGTATTGAAACATTGCAAATCCCATCTACATGCATAGGAGCCAAAATGATCAATAAATTGATCGTGGGCCCTTAAGATATAGAAGAAGAAGAAGAAGCCTGAATAATGACTAAGGACAATCAAAAGGACGCTTAGGCTGAAGACTTCATTAACAAAAACAGTAAATTAATAAAACAACAGGTAATAAAAACTAAGTTTAATTATTTACTTTCCCTCTACTATGCTTCGGTCCAATTTTATCCTTTGTTATTTTAGAATTATGTCACGTAAATCCTTCAAACTAATCAAAAAATAAATTTTAAAAATAAAGATGCAAATGTTTTTAAAAACAATTCTTTCAGATTTGAATTACAATCATTTAAAAAGAAAAGTCCTTAAATTATTTATTTTTTCCACTCCCCCATTGAAAACATTAGACATAAAAAGGAAAAGATTACCTTCCTCCTGTTCTATAGATGAGTGATTGGCCACTTTATCTTCATCATTGTTGTTCTGTATATGGTCAGAACTTTTATTTGCATTAAACAATGACCTGGAAATTCTGAGAAGTGGTGGGCTGCCAATTGTTTTACTTTTTTTAACAGGTTTCCTGAAAGACCCAGATGATGTACCTTCAAAATCATTACTGTCATCATCCCTGTTATCATGATCAACTGAATTGGTTGGGTTGGTTTTTTTAACAGGTCTCCTACAAGACCCGGATGATGTGACTTCAAAATCATTACTGTCATCATCACTGTGATCATGATCAACTGAGTTTGTGTTGTTGTTTTGAGATGTGGATGTCTGTGTGTTTTTTAGGGGCTGTGTTTTACTTTTATTTGAAACTTTCAAATTTGGTGACTTTCCTAGTTTTTTTGCTTTCGGTGACTTTGACTTGGTTTTAGGTTTAGAGCCAGCAGCAGATGACTTGACTGCAATCTTTTTCCTTTTTGGGATGAATTCAGGGGCTGTAGAGCTATAGAAAGGGTCAAAATTATTTCATACACCTTAGAAAATATGAACAAAGAATTTAAAAAAAAATTAATTAGGTCATAAGAAAGAAGCCAATAAATTTTGAATGCTAGAACTAGAGGCATAATCTATTATAGGCTGGCACTCACTGAGAAAATTTATATTGATATTATCCAAAAAAATGAGCCTTGTATTGTGAACTTAGAAGTTTAACATTTACCGCAAAGAATATATATTTTTAAAAAAATTTTAACAGAAAACCTTAATGTCTGCAAATAATTTTAGTGATTTTTGATGGAGAAGTACTTGTTATATACAAGACTATTTGATATAAAACAAGACACCCATTTGCTTGTTATATCCTTAACAAAAAAGCTGGGGGTCATCCATAAATGATGTCTCTCATCTAAGGTATAGTGGGTCATGAATTTTGGATGATATATAATGAGGGTGTCAAAATTGTGAGTCAAAGTTGTGACTTTAGATGGAGGGGTGTCCAAAATAGCAAGATATCATTATTAGAATCCCTGCCCCCGACAGACTGTGAATGTACAATGTTGATTTAATTCCTCTAAGTTACCCAACTAGAAAGAACAACTTGTGTTAATATTTAAAGAAGACTTCTTGTCATCACCTGTCTGAGTCATCATCATATTGATGAAATTAAGCTCCTTGGTTAACATTTATAATTCATAGATAAATTTATTTAACTTACTTTTATTCTTCCATTAACTAGATTCGAAACACATAACTTGCTATTGTTGAACCGATACCTACATTAGAACCAGTAATGTAGTGCTGCTATCCACACAACGCTGACCCCTCCCAACCCCAAACTCTCTAAGTGATTAGATATTAAGAGAAAAGAAAGAGCTATAAGTATTTATAAAACCAACTATATTCACGCTGCTCAACAGAGAATGTTAAAAAAATATGCTCACTTACCTTTCTTCATCCTGTGTACTCTGAAAATGAGAAAAGACTGATTGCATTTTCTCCAAATGTTAGTATCTAAAATGAAGTCCTATGTGTAGGCTACGTGTAAATTGATTATCAATTTTTTTCTGCCATTGTTACATTTGTGTTTATAGGTCTGTTACAAGCTGAGTAATGGAATAAAATTTGGTTTATAACAACTTTTCATGCTTAGAATCAATCATAACATGACAGGATGTAATATGAAAGTTTTATTTAAAATATATTGTTCAAAGTTTTCAGTCCCATGAAACTACCAGATGTACTTTCAACTGATTATCTAAATTTCTCAATATAAAAATATATTAATCATTACTGAAGCGACAAGTAAACATGTTATTAAAAAAAAAAATATTTTTGATATTCGTATTTCATATGATTTATTTATTTACATTCAAATTAACATATACCTGAAAAGTTTTTGTCAAAAAATTTAACTGATTTAAATTTAACTGAGTTGAATGTTTGAAAATTCAGCCAAACACTTTAGGCTCTGCCCAACGGTCAAATAATTTAAGTGGAAAAATAAACATGTTTTTAATCAGTACTCAGTTGAAGAAAGTCACATTTAATATTGAACTTATTTGATATGCCTCTTCTGTTTAGTTAGAGTGATATCTTAAGTTCATTTAACATTTATTATCTTAAGTGAATAAAAAGTATTTATTATCTAAAGCGAATATTCAGTTAGAATTATGTAAATTTTCTTTTTTATATGAACTTCTGTGCTTTAGGTGACCAAAACAGTTATGTGTTGTTGTTCATCCTTCGCATGCGAAGATGACCAAGGCAATATTCAATGGTGAGTATGCAGGTAGCTTGCCAATCCTATTTGTGCCCGGAAAGCTTTCGTGCATTGTAGGGAAAATGTTGTTTTTGGGTCCTAGTTGGATTGAAGTTGATTCTGCTTTTCATTGCTGTACGCTTTATTTGGGCATGAGTTGTTCATTTACTCTCTGGGGATTTTGGTTTAACACCAGCTTGTACAATCCATAGCCAGTGTTTCCCATGAATTAGAGTCGATGTTCACAGATTTGAGTGAAGCTTTTAGACATCCCTTAAAACTTTCTTTTTCTGCACACCAGATGAGATTTTCTCATTTGATAGTTAACCTAAAATTAGCTGTTTAGGAAGTATGTTGTCTGGCATTCTCGCAATCTGTCCTGCCAATCTGGCTTTTCCTTTTTGTATGAGCATTTTGATGATAATAAATTAGCCTGTTGTATGTAATCTGTATCAGGGACTTTCTTCTACCACCTTACACCATGAAGTTTACATAGACAGCGTAGGTGGAGATGATTTAGTTGTCTAGCATGTCTGCTCTTCAATGTCCAGATCTCGCTAGCATATAGGAGAAATGTTAATATGATTAGCACTATATAATTTCAGCTTATTGACAAGACCACTTTGCTCCAAGACACTGTAAATGTAACTTTTACTTTGGAAATTTGATTGTTGATCTCATCATAAATTGTTACTAACCTGGAGAGGGTGCCGCTCAAATATGTGAATTTCTCCACAACGTAGAGATTATGTCCCTTCATTGACATATTAGATCTTTTTAAGCTTTTCCTGGAGCTAGCTGGTGCAATGTCTCTGTTGTTTTCTTATTGTTTACGAGGTCACACTTATGGCAGGCTTTAGCGAAGCGATCAAATATTTTATGCATTTAGTGCGCATTCATCAGCAAATTAGAGGTCTCGAATAACCGTTTCTTTTATTCATAATGGTTTGAAATCTCCTAGGATTAAATAACCCCACCTTCCCCAGGCTTTCCTGTATCTTAAAGAAATGCCACCATTATTTTACTAACAGTCACTACTAAACAAAAAACATCAGATGCTGAGATCTTATTAGAACACTACTTCACGGGTAGAGAAAGTCAAGTTATGTACAGAGTTTAATTTCATGTGGGCAGTGCCTTTGCTTGAGTTCGTGTCTTGAGTTTGTCACCCTTAACTTTAAAATAATGTACCAATATCGCATTACTTACCAAACTTACTTGTAAAAAAGTAATCCCCCTACTCACTGCCACACCCAGTAGATATAATACTGACTGGGGATGAGACAAACTTTATCTTACCTCTGACAGACGGTCTTTGTTACGTTTATTAATGGCTCTCCTGAAAAAAACAGCATATTTTTGTCAAGGATATTTTTAGGCCTACCAGTATGTTATGTCCTGTGAATTATCTGGTACAAGTGACTACCAGGATATGCACATTTTTGTGACAATAATTTCATGCCCCTAATGAGGTGAGCATAAAATACTCAGTGGTTGTCAACAGGGCTAAGTACTTTAAGATTTAATGATATTAAATTGTAACAGCCAAATGTCAGGCTTTCGCAGGGTTGGGAAAAAAAAGCCTAATTCTGATACAGAAGAGGTTCTAGCTACATTAAATTATTAATTTTACTAAGACTAAGACACTTTATTCTTTAGAGCATTTTAAAAAAAAAATTGAATTAAATGCAACTCTGTATTCTTTTTCCTTTTAAATTAAATATCAAATTCAATATATTTTATCTAGTTACTTACCTTCGTCTTGGAGTGTCAGCAGGTGCATCTGGTTCCTCATCCTCAAAACAACGGCTTAACAAAAAGAATAACAAGAAACTTTCAAGCAACTAAATTTTTTAATTAAATGTAAATTTAAAGGATTCGAATTTTATTTTTTTATATTTTTTTAACTACAGGTAGGCCTACACAGAGTTCATGAAGAGATTATTTTAAAATATATACTGCTGGTACTGTTAGGCCTATTATATTATCGTAGTGCTTGTTTTTTCAAACGCTTTTTAACAGCATTTTTTAAATATTCCCCATTTATTTCACTTTTCTTATTATAAGGTGCAGCACTTATCTTATATAAAGTAAATGACTTAATATGCGTTCAAACAAATGACCTACTTATACTGTGCATCTTTATTCATGTGACAAAACCAATGTTTAGGCAGAGAATCTCCATCTGTTCCAGGTGGCAAGCGTCGCCACATTAAACAATTGCTACACTGAGCCCAGGTCCAATCAGGAAGTTTACTGTGTTTAATCAAGAAAACTTTATGAGTAATAACAGTCAACATAATAGTGGACAATAATTGATTTTAAAAAAAGAGTGAAGTTGTATTACTAGTTTAAAAATTAAATAATTTAAAACTAAATATTTCTTTATTTGACCCACTTCTTACTGTGTTTTTTTTTTCATCCTAGTTATCACCATAGCTGATGTACATATTTAATGCTTATGCCAAACCCATATCATCAAAACCAGACTGGCCATTACACACATCTTCCCTATTTGTTTTTTCTAAATTAAATTTTGTCCCCTTAACCAAACTTTGAATCTATCTTTGTCTAGAGGCAGTGAAAACTTGGACACTTCCAAATAAAAAAAAAAAGATACCATATTCTCAACCATATTTCTTCAACAGAAAGCAACAGTCTAGTTTTTTGTCTACTTTTTTTTAGTTTTAATTGGTATTTTTTTTAATGAGTTGCAACCAAAAATATATATTTGAAAATTCAGCTCTTGCAGATGTGACAAATTTTAAATGTTAAGTTAAGCATTGAACACATCAAATGGTTGGGCTGTTTTTAATAATGAAGAATAAATTAGTGAAATAAAATTTCAATATCTTAGATGTAATGCAATCTTAAAGATAACATTAATAGAGAATATTATACACCATACAAAGTTTTAAGAATTGTTTATAAATACTTACCCTACATCATTATTTTGTGTTTCCTTTTTGCTGTTCCAGTAGGCATTTAATTTGCCAGCTAGTGCTGACATAATTGAACTGAGGACAAAGTGACAGAGATCTGTATTTTGTTTTGTTATGATTTGTTTTGCTATTATGGCATTTAACAGAAGAAGGCAATATGATAGCATGCATGACATTGGTAATAGTAAATGTTATATTATGTAATAGCAATTATGTTATTTAAATAGAGATAACACTGTAATCATAAAAAAACTCATTAAAATGATCCATGGAGCTGTGAAGCAGTACTTTGACACATATCAT